CCGAGCTCAGTGGGCACCGCTGGACCTCAACCTGGGACCTTCCGAGCTCAGTGGGCACCGCTGGACTTCAACGGCCAGATAGAATGCCAGAAGATATGCCAGATAGAACGCCAGATAGAATGTCAGATAAAATGCAAGAAGATATGCCAGATAAAATGCAAGAAGATATGCCAGATAGAATGCCAGAAGATATGCCAGATAAATGCCAGAAGGTATGCCAGATAGAATGCCAGAAGATATGCCAGATAAAATGCCAGAAGATATGCCAGAACATATGCCAGAAGGTATGCCAGATAAAGTGCCAAGATAGAATGCCAGAAGATTTGCCAGATAAAATGCCAGATAGAATGCCAGATAGGATGTCAGAAGATATGCCAGAAGATATGCCAGATAGAGTGCCAGAACATATGCCAGAAGATATGCCTGGTAGGATGCTAGAAGATATGCCAGATAGAATGCCAGAAGGTATGCCAGATAGAATGTCAGATAGAATGCCAGAAGGTATGCCAGATAAAGTGCCAAAATGTTTGCCAGATAGAATGCCAGAAGATTTGCCAGATAGAATGCCAGATAGGATGTCAGAAGATATGCCAGAAGATATGCCAGATAGAGTGCCAGAAGATATGCCAGAACATATGCCAGAAGATATGTCAGGTAGAATGCCAGAAGATATGCCAGATCGAATGCCAGAAGATATGTCAGATAGAATGCCAGAAGATTTGCCAGTAACAAAACGTATAAATGTCATGGTGGGGATGACTCGAAGTAAAGTAATTGTTTTTTTTGTTTCTTCCCTGCTTCTCTGCTTTTATGTTTCTTTGCTTCTCCATTTTTCTGCTTCTCTGCTTCTTCGCTTCTCTGCTTCTCCGGGTTTCTGTTTTTTTGTTTCTCTGCTTCACCACTCTTCCGTTTCTTTCCTTTTTGCTGTTCTGCTTTTCTGTTTTCTCCTGCTTTTTTGCTTTTTTGCTTCTTCGCTTCTCGAACCTAAACCAACCCTAAATGAACCCCAAAATCAAACCTAAATAAACCTTGCAACAACTGTAAACCAACCGTAAATGAACCCTTGTCGCAAAATACCATGCAATATAAAAGTTTGAGCACCACAATGTTGCAAATACAATGGAAAATGAACGGTTCGAATTCCAAAATGTTGGGAATATAGTAATGTGGTATAGTTGAAATGGCAGTTTCCAGCTCCAATGTGCTGCAAATTGCAAGGAAAACGGGCAGCTGTCAGCCTGCTCAGCCCACTGTCCGGCTGCTGCAGATCATGAACAATACCACCATCATAAAAAAAAAAGTTGGTTTAAAAACAAGGGGGGGGCCTGAGAACCCAAAAGCAAAACGACAGCAAACAAATTCGAGTAATAATTGGTTTATTTCCCTTTCGCCTCTTGCCAGCATTTTTTTGGAAGATGAACATTATGGACGCACTCACTACAAATTTCATTTTTTTCAGCTCTACACTCTACACGGCTTCTCTGTACAAAAGTTTCTTTGCATAAATGCTTCTGTATGTAAAAGCTCCTGTGGGTAGAAACTATTAGAAACTTCTCTGTGTAAAGGTTTTCGGTGTAAAAGTTTCTGTGTGTAAAAGCTTCTGTGTAAAACGTCCTCTGTGTGTAAAAGTTTCTGTTTGTGAAAGTTTCTTTGCGTACCAGCTGCTGTCTGTAAAAGCTCCTCTGTGTTAAGGTTTTGTTTGTGTAAAGCTTCTGTGTGCAAAAGCTTCTCTGTGCAAAAGACTCCTCTGTGTCAAAGCCTCTGAGTCCAGCATGCTGTCTCGCTCCCTCCCAGCGAAGCTCTCCCCAAACTATTTCCACGGTTTCCCCTCCGTCCAGCATGCTGTCTCGCTCCCTCCCAGCGAAGCTCTCCCCAAGCTATTTCCACGGTTTCCTGTCTGTCCAGCATGCTGTCTCGCTCCCTCCCAGCGAAGCTCTCCGCACGCTATTTGCACGATTTCCTTTCAGCATGCTGCCTCGCTCCCTCCCAGCGAAGCTCTCCCCAAGCTATTTCCACGGTTTTGCCATGTCCAGCATGCTGTGTCCCTCCCGGAGAAGCTCTCCGCAACCTATTTGCACGGTTTCCTCTCCGTTCAGCATGCTGTCTCGCTCCCTCCCAGCGACGCTCTCCCCAAGCTATTTGCACGGTTTCCTCTCCCTTTCCAGCCACTCCCTTGTACCCATGCCGTCCGCAGCCGTCCGCGCAATTGTCCCCGCCCATTTGCCGTGCACAGCCGTCCGTGCAGCCAGCGGCTTCTTCTCCCCACCCGTTTCCAGCCACTCCCTGGCACCCACGCCGTCCGCAGCCGTCCGCGCAATTCTCCGCACCCATTTCCCGTCCACAACCGTCCGCGCAGCCAAGCTCGCTCATCACCAGCGGCTTCTTCTCCCCACCCATTTCCAACCACTGCCTTGCACCCACGCCGTCCGCAGCCGTCCGCGCAGCCAGCCCGCTCATCCCCCAGCGGCTTCTTCTCCCCACCCATTTCCAGCCACTACCTTGCACCCACGCCGTCCGCAGCCGTCCGCGCAGCCAAGCTCGCTCATCCCCAGCATCTTCTTCTCCCCACCCATTTCCAGCCAAGCACTCCCTTGCACCCACGCCGTCCGCAGCCGTCCGCGCCATTCTCCCCACCCATTTGCCGTCCGCAGCCGTCCGCGCAGCCTCGATCATCCCCAGCGCCTTCTCCTCCCCACCCATTTCCAGCCACTCCCTCGCACCCACGCCGTCCGCAACCGTCCGCGCAGCCAAGCTCGCTCATCACCAGCGGCTTCTTCTCCCCACCCATTTCCAGCCACTCCCTTGCACCCACGCCGTCCGCAGCCGTCCGCACAATTCTCCGCACCCATTTCCCGTCCGCAACCGTCCGCGCAGCCAAGCTCGCTCATCACCAGCGGCTTCTTCTCCCCACCCATTTCCAGCCACCCCCTTGCACCCATACCCATTTCCAGCCATTCCCTTGCACCCACGCCGTCCGCAGCCGTCCGCACAATTCTCCGCACCCATCCTCAACCGTCCGCGCAGCCAGCCCGCTCATCCCCCAGCGGCTTCTTCTCCCCACCCATTTCCAGCCACTCCCTTGCACCCACGCAGTCCGCAGCCGTCCGCGCCATTCTCCTCCACCCATTTGCCGTCCGCAGCCGTCCGCGCAGCCAAGCTCGCTCATCACCAGCGGCTTCTTCTCCCTACCCATTTCCAGCCACTCCCTTGCACCCGGCTTCTTCTCCCCACCCATTTCCCGCCACTCCCTTGCAGATGATGCTCTGAGAGGGATTAGGAGAATAGGACGTTTCACAAGCGGCCTCGAGGTTCACCTAGTTTGGTCTTTTCCACCCACGCCGTCCGCAGCCGTCCGCGCAATCCTCCCTTCCATTTCCCGTCCGTAACCGTCCGCGCAGCCAAGCTCGCTCATCACCAGTGGCTTCTTCTCTCCACCCATTTCCAGCCACTCCCTTGCACCCACGCCGTCCGCAGCCGCCCGCGCAATTCTCCGCCGTCCGCAGCCGTCCGCACAATTCTCCGCACCCACTTCCCGTCCGCAACCGTCCGCGCAGCCAAGCTCACTCATCCCCAGCGGCTTCTCTCCCCACCCATTTCCAGCCACTCCCTTGCACCCACGCCGTCCGCAGCCGTCCGCGCCATTCTATCCACCCATTTGCCGTCTCATCACCAGCGGCTTCTTCTCCCTACCCATTTCCAGCCGCGCAATTCTCCGCACCCATTTGCCGTCCGCAGCCGTCCGCGCAGCCAAGCTCGCTCATCACCAGCGGCTTCTTCTCCCCACCCATTTCCAGCCACTCCCTTGCACCCAGACCCATTTCCAGCCATTCCCTTGCACCCACGCCGTCCGCAGCCGTCCGCACAATTCTCCGCACCCATTTCCCGTCCGCAGCCGACCGCGCAGCCAAGCTCGCTGATCTCCAGCGGCTTCTTCTCCCCCATTTCCAGCCACTCCCTTGCACCCACACCGTCCGCTGCCGTCCGCGCACTTCTCCGCACCCATTGCCCGTCCGCAGCCGTCCGCGCAGCCAAGCTGGCTCATCACCGGCGGCTTCTTCTCCCCATTCATTTCCAGCCATGCCGTTGCACCCACGCCGTCCGCAGCCGTCCGCGCAGCCAAGCTCGCTCATCACCAGCGGCTTCTTCTCCCCACCCATTTCCAGCCACCCCTTTGCACCCATGCCGTCCGCAGCCGTCCGCGCCATTCTCCACCCATTTGCCGTCCGCAGCCGTCCGCGCAGCCAAGCTCGCTGATCTCCAGCGTCTTCTTTTCCCACTCATTCCTTTCCCTTCCTTTCCCTTCCTTTCCCTTCCTTTTCCCTTCCTTTTCCCTTTCTTTTCCCTTCCTTTCCCTTCCTTTCCCTTCTTTTCCCTTGCTTTCCCTTCCTTTTTCCTTCCTTTCCCATCCTTTCCCTTCCTTTTCCTTCCTTTCCCTTCCTTTCCCTTCCTTTCCCTTCCTTTCCTTTCCTTTCCCTTTCTTTCCCTTGCGCCCATGCCATCCGCACACCACCGTTCAAACCAGCTCGCTCCCCCACACGGTTAAAAGATGTTAAAAGACTAAACGAGAACCCAAGCATCGAAGATGCTTTTGGGAAAAAACGGAAAAACAATCAATTCCGGACCCTTTGCTATCTTTGTTATGGCGTGATCATTTGTGCATGGAATATCGGTGCGGGGGTTCCTTATCCACTTCCTTGGATGAGGGGGTCAGCTTTAGACCACGGCTGGAGCGAGCTAAAGCAGACAGAGTCCCATTAAACTGCCCCACATACATATTATGATGTTCGTTCGACCACAGGGGATCAGAAATCACATAACTCACGAGATGAAATTTTCAGAATTGTTTTATGTCTCGCAGACTTGAGCAAGGACCGCTTTGAGAGATCTGGTTCTGCATTCAACAAAGCTTTGCAGTTACAATGCAGCGGAAGCCCAGAGGAGGAGATCAAAGTGGAACCTATCGGAATCTTGTTCCATAGCGCTGTGCCACGCGTGACCCTGTGAGTTACTGAGTAAGTGTGTGTGTGTGTGGACACTTTAGATACTTCTTTAGATACTTCATGAAATCTGCATGAAATCTTCTTCAGATACTTCTAGACTTCTAGATTTTGACTTTGCGCAGCTCGTGCTCGTAGGCAGTTGTGCCCAGGGAGGTCATCCAAATTCAGGGCCATTGATTTGTACTGCAGGCCCTTGCAGTTGTATATATATTTTTTTTTTTCGCGGAGCTACTCAGATGGGTCCTAATATGTCCTAATATGTCCTAAGTACCTTTGTGGGTTTGATTTTGGTATTGACTTTAGGTGGAATTGCGTAGAGAAACTCATTCATTACAGCCTGATTCCTGACACGTCGCCATATGCTGCCAAATCTCCATGCACGTTTTGCATTGTTTGATCCGGTAAGCTGTCATTGTTTGATATTTTTTGGGAGAGGGGTGAATCTCGCTGTCAAAGGAGGCGAGAACAAGTTTCATCTTAAGAGTGGCAATCACCAGCTGCCTGGAGAGTGGCACTATGATAATGCTAAGAAGTTGCTCGGATGCATGTACGATCATGTACATTGTTTTTTCATGTTTATTGCAGCTGCCAAGTCTTCGAAATGGACAGGGGTAAGCAGGGCTGCCCTCTCTTTCAGGCTATTTTTTTAATTTTTTTGCAGTGACACGCCTGGGCCTACTGGCACTTCTTAGTGTTACCGTACAAAAGTTTTAGGCAGCCGCTGCAGCCCCCATTCTGGCCACAAGGGCGCGCAATTTAGAAGGAGATCACACATGGTCATGCAATTTTCACCAACGAAAGGACCTTCATCATGATTTACTCCTTTTGTCACCAATGGTCAGGCATACACATCTTCCGCAACTCCATTTCCACTAGGGCATGTACATAATTGTACATATAATATTTACTATATATAATATATATATATATACATACATACATTATACTTATTTATTAAGACATATAGACACATTATATTGTTTTCTTTGCCAGCCCACCAAACATAGATCAATAAGAGTGAAGAGATGTGAAGAGGGATACCCAAGGTATACAAATGCACGTGTCCTATGTATGCAGATGTTTGCAAGGATTTGAAAATAATAATACACGTTTTGCTTGGCCTGAGGCGAATCAGAAATTTGCATTCGAACAAGTGCTTGAAAGCTCATCACCCCCATGCGGCACTGGAGGAGACATGCATGGAAAGTCGCTTGGGTGAGGAAGCGATTCTGATTTTGAAACATGAAATCATGAAAGCAAGGTTCAAGGTTCGTTGAGACTGCTTCCTGGGTTTTTGTGAGGTGCTGTCAGGTATGTGAATAGGTCAAAGTGTGTTCCATTCATTGCACGAAGCGTTTGTTGAATCGATCTTGCACCCTTGAAGACGAGCTTGACCATAGGTATCGAGCAAGAGTGGATTGTGGGTCACGGACTACAAGGTTTGGCAGATGCTCCAATATCCTGCACGAGCAACCAGGTACGCATGACGATTTAGGGTAAGGGCATGGTAAGGGTAAGGGTTTGGGGAGCAATATTTCATAGACCAAGCTGTGGAGGCTTGCAAGCCTATAGAAGTCCGGGACGAATGGGCCTCAAAACCGCGAATGATACAACCCTACTTACAACACTGAATGTGCACTGCGTTCCAATGTGGGCCAGAGATGTTCCTTCCCCAACGTAAAGCAGCGAAGTGCTCAGAGATCTCCTTTGTGTGTCATTTCCCTGTTCCTTTTTGCCTGTGCATTGCTGGCCCGACAGGTCCTTAGCTTCTTTGAGAAGGGGCATGGTCACATTCGATGCTGGGCTGCTGAAGATATGTTACTGTACATACTTTTTGACTTTGCGTTTCTTGTGCTACCCCTCAACACATTCAAGCAGAAGAACGCGTCACTTAATTTCAGTTCATCAATTGAATAAATATGTCGCGCATTGTAGCACTATATGGCACTGGTTCATGACTCTGATGGCGCTTTGGGGCCTTGGTTGCTTGGGAAAGGGTTTGAGCTGGACCCTCGAACTGCCTGGAATCGAGACCTCTGACAGAACAAGGACTCTTTAAAATACAAGCCTTGTGAGAGCCATTGAGAGCCCAAAAGCAAAAGGATGTCGAAGGATGCTAAGGCTTTGCTAAGGACACTTGAGAGCCATCCTAAAACCTACACAATAGAATTTGGCAAGGCCGCTTCTTGATTTGGAGTGGCTCCAAACTTTCATCGCACAAAAGGTTGCCCAAGGTTTGGCGTAAGGAAATGAATGGTAGAGTAGAGATATTCATAGTTTGTCAATTGCTTGTGTTTATGCTACTTGTAGTTCATAGGCCCTTGCCACATTGCTTCATCAATATTGAAAGGCAAAGCGTTGATAGCCTAGCACCCTTACTAGGACCTTTTTGCTCCGTGGAAGGGCGCATGCTTTGCCATGCTTGAGACACATTTCATCTTGATGCGCAAAGTCAAGTTCATGTTTGCGAAAACATAGTTTTCAGAGGCCGAAATTTGTACACATCTGGCGCAAGCTTTACGCAAGATCTGCGCAAGCCCCACTAGGGTCTTTGACCCCTATCCCAAATTTGATGACAGCCTACCTACTTCTGTTAATTTAGTGACTAGTGGTGCAGTCATGTTGTCCTTTTGTGTCCCCCCGCGTTTTCACGCCCAGCTTTTCGGAACCTACCTTCAACATCTCTGCTTAAGAAATTGTTTGCGAACGACTCTACTTGCAGATCACGAAAGCTAGGTTCTGCTAGCTGAAGTCCCTCTTGCTTTAGCAACGCATTGGCGGGCTGGAATCTCCAATCGCATGAAACTTCCACCTTACACTTTGCTGGGTTTCTTTGTTGAATACTTGTAACAGAAAGTCAAACTAAGCACTAAGCGCCTATTCTTGCCCTCCGAAGCATGATGCTCTATTCACAATCTGGCATTGGGCGGCGAAACTCAGAGTGCTAGAGCCTGCTCTTGTTTCATTTATTTCACACCAAATTTCGAATCACCCCTTTTTCATCCTTTTTCGACCATCAGAGATCTGGTTTCACCACATCCACAAGTTGCGTTCCAGCGGATTTGATTTCGTGCCTAAATCTACACTATGCTGCCAGACATTTGCTCTAAGGATACAAGTGCGTACACGTCGCAGCTTTGGGCAGCTGTGTACCAGGTCGCATGGGCAGAGTGTGCAGCCGCCACACTGTACATCCGCAACTGGTCCCAGACCATGAGAAAGTAAAATCTGTTGTCAACACACATGCTAAGACCACACTGTTCTTCTGAAGAATCTGTTCTTAATTGGAATATGCATGAATATGCAGACAAATTTGAACCAATCCAAATCAATGGTTGTTCTTGTCCAGGAAAACTAAAGTAAGTGTGTTATTTCACATCAATTTACTTATACTTTAGAAGGGAGAGGCCCGGAGTAGACGTTTCTATAAACTACTAAGACAGTATTTGGACAAGATACATGATCATGAATGTTGCGCGCACAGCTTTACCTGTGTGTTTTCCTTATCATTGTGTGTTTGTTTATGGTTGTTTAACGTTGTTTATCGTCTTACCGGTTAAACATCCATATTGATCCATATTGAAGATAGTTTGATGCTCGCTTTGTCCAGATGTTGCTTTGACAGTAGGCTGGGCCAATGGTTCTAGTCAGCAACCATTTGAGAGGTCATTTTCAGAGTCAAAGAGGCTGCAGACAGAGTGTTTTTCAGTCAGGGTCACCGTGCACAGAATTCCCCGGGCTTTGTATCCGGGCGCAGATGATAGTCACTGCAAGTTGCTACATGAGATGCACTGCATTTGCATGTTCCATGTTCTCTCTTCTTGAGGCCTTACACTGGATTAAGAGAGCCTCTTATTTGTGATGTCTTATGCTTATTATTACCTCTTGTGAATCTTGAAGTTGCAAGTTCTTTCGGGCAGACCTCTGTCCCAGCTGGCTCTCCACATCTCCCCGCTGCCGTGCCGTAAAGAATCCCCATGTCAGGTGTGATCCTGCAGTGCCAAACACTCGCTAAGACCACTCTTCTTGTCTTCAAGTCCTTGGTAGGCATTCAAGAGAATATACGGTATATACATGTATATACGGTATACTATTAGACCATTAGTTCAAGCCAGAATGCACCGAGAGCAGGACTAAGTACCTTTGCCCAGTATAGACTCACCAAAGTATGTACTATTGACAACACATAGGTTGTTGCTGCTGTTCTTTCAACCCTGCAGGCGACATTTAGACAAAAATGCATGTGGAACGCCACTTTGGGATTCCAATGAGTTGGGAGGCTACTCTGCGCAAGTGGAGACAAAGGCCCCTGAATTGGAGGATGTCAAGGCAGCTGGAATTTGTCGTCGAATTCGCGTCACATAGTGTCACATCATTTCACACATGATGTTGTTTTGGGGGGTTGAACGATGTTGAACCACTTAGCTGATTAGGTGTCCTGACGGTTGTCAAAGTCTGTATATAGCTCGTTCCTGTTCATGCTAGATTCGCGAAGAAGGTATGTAATATTATATAGGTATATAATGAAGTGTCACTACTGTATGTCAATGAATTGGGTGTGCCTACCATTGGCCAATACCAGGCCAAGACAAACAGTTTGCTTGACAGGAAAGGATAGAAAGAGATTGCAACTTTTCAGGGTGGCGATGAGAAGTGTTGACAAAGAAATGAATGCACCCGCGAAGCGTTTACGAAAAGTCAATTCCTGAGAACTACTGGAGGGGCATCATGAAATAGAAGCCAAGGATAGTCAAGGCCACAGGCGCAAGAAGACTGTCAGGTCACTCTCAGGTTTGCCTATCTTTGGGCATTGCCTTCGCCACTGCTTCTGTTCGCTCCAAAAGTGGTTTTGATTTTTCCCCTGCCAGGTGAGGTCCGCTAGATCCGCTAGATGTTTTTTCAGCTTGCACCTCCGCTCCTCCTCTTCCGCTCCTTTACGCCTCCACACGCCTACCGACCCTGCGCCGCTCCGCTAGAGCACGCTCGCAGTCTGTCTGTGGCTCACCAGACCAGAACACTATTGCGATCTCGCAGGCTTTTTGGGCTTGCCGGACCTGAACACAGAATATCTGCCAGCAGAGTGTCAGAGTGTTGTATGTCAGGTAGAATGTCGGATAAAATGTAGAATGTCTGTCATACGAAACGTCAGAATACATGTCAAATAGATTCAAATAGATTCAGATAGATTCAAATAGATTGTCAGATAAAATATCTATGTCAAAGATTGTCAAAGAGAATGTCAGATTATATGTCAGATCGAATGTCAAACAAAAGGGCACCTAGAATGTCAGAACATGCAAGAAAAAGCAAATTCAAACAGGCTGTCAGAATATATGTCAGATAGAATGTCAGATGAAATTGCCAGTTGGTGAGGATCAATTCGATCTGGACTCTGAATCTGAACTATCTCTAGTATTTCGTCACGGGTCTGGTCTCAGGCCCTTGCCACATCCTGAATGGCCAGCAAACAGTCCTGTTTAGAATGCCACTGCATCTTATTTCACAATATTTCACAGAGATGCCCACACCCATCCAGTTCAAAGCTGAGAGTGGCAGCCTGCTCAAACCGATCAAAAGCGTTCATGAAGTAGCACATGTAGCACGAGGTCCTTGTGCAAGTCAAAGGCGGGGCAACAGCGTAGCTACTGCACTCCATCCGGCTTGTTTTTGTGCGTGCCTGCCGCTCCCAGTAACATGAACATTCAAGCACAGGAGTTTCGTAGTGTCAGGTACTTGCTTTAAGTTCTGCTCAACGCTCAGTACTCACAAGCAGACACAGTGCCATCAGGTGACGATACTCTGAGTTGTTAAAGTTGAACGATTTCAATGAAATGAGCGTCCCAGCTGCGCGCACGCAACTTCTAAAGTTGACCAATGTTGCGTCCAGCTTGTGTCTAGCAAGTTAGTTTTTTTTTTCAGTTTTTGACTTTTTCGTGGGTTTTGCATTGCCAGCGACTTTGTGTGACTTCGTATTTAGGTTGTATCTATACCATGTTTTCATGATCGCATGAAAGGACAATGAAAGGAAATGAAAGGAGAATGAAAGGAACATGAAAGCAAATTAATCCAAAGGTCTGGGTTTTGATACCCTTTGACGTCGTTCGATACGTCGTTCGGACGTCGTTCGAAACAGCTACCCTCTGGTAAACTAACATAGCTGTTGAAAATGGCCATTTATAGTGGATTTACACAGCAAAACTTGCCAAAACAGAGCTTGTCGTACATCGGCGTCCCATTGGGGTTGACCTTGCTTTTGGTCAACTTATTTGACTTCCTGATCCAACGGCGTCCCAATGAGATTTGACACAATTCTGTTAAATTGGTCGACTTTAACGGTTCGGAGTAGGTCTCTCAAACATGCATTTCGCACAAGCAACTTGAGAGGGAAGAACCAATAGACGCCTACAAAGCAGGCGTGGCAATCCAAGCAGAAAAAAAACTTACAATTTGCAAAATCGACCCTGTACAAAGATGTTGCCATGGCCCTTCACTAACACGCAACAAACAGAAGCAATCAGTTGTGAGGCATCGCAGGTTGAAATGGTGTCCAGCACCCCCTTGCTATCTTTGAATCTTTGCTTCCACAAGGTTCCTATTTAGAGCAACTGGCCGGGAAACATTGCATACTGTGCGAGTCACATCCATTCACTATTTCATGGGCCCTGGTGTCACAGTCGATCATACACCATCATAAAAACACTGCGTTCACTTTAGTTTACGACTCGCTCATTCACTCTGCAATTCACTCTTCCCGACGGTGTGGGAAACGCTGCGAATTCCCTGACTCAACTTGGGTCCAACAAAGCGTTTTGGAGGCCTTGAAAAGGATGACAGCCACCTGCCCCACCGGTCACGGCTTGAGAGCGCTGGAAGCAGAAGCTTCGGATAAGGGGGCATGGATTCGCCTACGTTATGCTCCTTGACCAGAATTGATTCGAATTTGTTGTTGTCAACACACGGAAAGGTTGTGCCCAGGCGGCGATTCAACTGTGTCCTGTAAAATCACCGTTGGGGCACAAAGGCTAAAAAGCTAGGGCTGGCGCGCCTGGTTTTAGCCCACAGATGGCTTTGGCCATAACCCCAAAAAAGTTACGCACGGGATCTAAGTACCTGGGAGAAAAAAACCTCAAGCGCCGGTATTCAGCCAATGAGATGTTTTTTTGTTGGAAGAGCTTTGCCAAACATCAAGCTCAGGGGTTTCATCCAAAGTTGGATTTTCAACATGAGAGTTAGTGAAAGGCTGGGGTCACTGGTTTTTATCCAGAAACATTTTTCCCAAAGAACTCAGCAGCTACCCAGGGGGAACTTCAGCTCACAGGTTTTCATCCACAAATATAATTTTGGTCACGGGAACTTGAAGTGCTCACGGCAGAATCCCTTAAACCTCAGTAAAGGTTTCCATTCTCCGGATCTTGCTGCTTTAACTTGAAGTGCTCACGGCATAAACCCTTAGACCTCAGTACAGGTTTTCATTCTCTGGATCTTGCTGTCTGAACTTCCTGGAGATTCATTCTCCTGGAAAAAATCAGGAGTTTCCGCTTTCCAGTGATTTCAGGAGTTTCAGGAGTTTCAGGTGTTTCATGTCATTTGACAGTGCGACACTTTGCTCAACTCAACCCTCAGACCTTAAAAAACATCCTGGACATCCAATTGCCTTTTCAAAAACAAGGAGCTTTAGGAGTTTCAGGTGTTTGACGTCAAAGTCCATCGTTTTCAGTGAAAAGCAGGTAAACACCGAGAACTTAAGGATTCTTCCAGGATTTTGAATCTCCAGGGAGCTGCATGCACAGGCTGAAAAACATGAGACTGAGATTCATGAAAATTAAATGGTGACATTCTTGCACAGGCTGAAAACATGAGACTGAGATTCATGAAAACGAAATAGCGAAGTGCTTGCACAGGATGAAAACCAGGGGACTGAGATTCATGAAAATGAAATAGTGAAGTGCTTGCACAGGATGAAAACCAGGGGCCTGAGTTTCATGACAATGAAATAGTGAAGTGCTTGCACAGGATGAAAACCAGGGGCCTGAGTTTCATGAAAATGAAATAGTGAAGTGCTTGCACAGGATGAAAACCAGGGGCCTGAGCTTCATGAAAATGAAATAGTGAAGTGCTTGCACAGATGAAAACCAGGGGACTGAGATTCATGAAAATGAAATAGTGAAGTGCTTGCACAGGATGAAAGCCAGGGCCCTGAGTTTCATGACAATGAAATAGTGGAGTGCTTGCACAGGATGAAAACCAGGGGCCTGAGTTACATGAAAATGAAATAGTGAAGTGCTTGCACAGGATGAAAGCCAGGGACCTGAGTTTCATGAAAATGAAATAGTGAAATGCTTGCACAGGATGAAGACCAGGGGCCTGAGTTTCATGAAAATGAAATAGTGAAGTGCTTGCACAGGATGAAAACCAGGGGCCTGAGTTTCATGAAAATGAAATATTGAAGTGCTTGCACAGGATGAAAACCAGGGGACTGAGATTCATGAAAATGAAATAGTGAAGTGCTTGCACAGGATGAAAGCCAGGGCCCTGAGTTTCATGAAAATGAAATAGTGAAGTGCTTGCACAGGATGAAAACCAGGGGCCTGAGTTACATGAAAATGAAATAGTGAAGTGCTTGCACAGGATGAAAGCCAGGGACCTGAGTTTCATGAAAATGAAATAGTGAAGTGCTTGCACAGGATGAAGACCAGGGGCCTGAGTTTCATGAGAATGTAATAGTGAAGTACTTGCACAGGATGAAAACCAGGGGCCTGAGTTACATGAAAATGAAATAGTGAAGTTCTTGCACAGGATGAAAACCAGGGGCCTGAGTTTCATGAAAATGAAATAGTGAAGTGCTTGCACAGGATGAAAACCAGGGGACTGAGATTCATGAAAATGAAATAGTGAAGAGCTTGCACAGGATGAAAACCAGGGCCCTGAGTTTCATGAAAATGAAATAGTGAAGAGCTTGCACAGGATGAAAACCAGGGCCCTGAGTTTCATGAAAATGAAATAGTGAAGTGCTTGCACAGGATGAAAACCAGGGCCCTGAGTTTCATGACAATGAAATAGTGAAGTGCTTGCACAGGATGAAAACCAGGGGCTTCAGTTTCATGAGTTCCACTCTGCGGGCACGAGAAACGTCAAGCAAAGGGTTTCATTGGTTGCAGTTTGTACCTCACACACCATTTTTATTAGTGGGGGCTAAAAACCAGGTTGCCTCCCTAGGATGCTGCCCCAATGGGGATTTGTAAAGAAAGAAATGTAGCAAGTCTGTGGCTGAGTACCATGCAACGAAGCCAACTTTATTCAGAAATTAGCGAAAAACATCTTGGAATCCCTAAAGCAACGCACCATCCGGAATCTTAACAGTTCCGATCTGAAAATGCCAATTTCCAGGTCGCTTGATGTTAGAGAAGCCTAATAATTCCATTTTATATTATACATATATATGTATATATATATGTCAGTTCACCACAGTTCTCATTAAGTTCTCATAATCCATCAGAATTCACAGGGCAGGATTCACAAGGGGCAGTGCAAGCTGTCATAGGACGTCATGGAAAAACTGAATTGAAGTGGAGTTTTAGGGCGCAACAACCTGGCAGAACACTTGCAGCAGGAGATGTGGCAGTGGCTTCTGAAAGTTCAACTCTCACAAAAGACGGACATCGTCATGACCCTCATGAGTTTTCATGTTTTTCATGGTCGATCATGCAATGGTTCCCACCTGTTGAGAAGTTGGATTTGAGGAATGCTGTCAGATCAATCGCGTGCCTGTATCCCTGTATCCCTACATTGGTGGCGACGGGCAGCGGGAGTTCATGGTGGATCTTGCAGATGGATGGGAAGGCAGGAGAGGATGAAACGTTTGCGGTTTTATCTGCTGCATCTTCCGCTGTTGCAAGCTACCGATTAAATCTTTGGACAGCTGTGCTTGTGCATTTTGTTGTCACTCACATGCTCGCACAGGTCTTTTCATGCAAAGGGACACACACCAATTAAAGTCCTTGGCTCTAGTGATTGCTAGACACGAATTTTGGGTTGCTGGGCTGCTTCTCACCGATGACTCACAACGATAAGGATTCCACAAAACATTGCAATCTGCGCATACATAAAAACCCTAAAACCTTCATGATGTCCCTAAAGATCCTACTAAACTTTTGCACATGGAGCGTTGCTTGGTTGTTGACATGAGAATCGGATATGCAAAGCGCCTGCACAAAGATATCATGTCAAAGGCAGAACACAATGCAGCTGGGAGGTGATCCCCACAGCGGCTCTAAGGAATTGACCGAGTCATTGGAATATTGGAACTATGGCCCGAATATGTTTTGTAATTACCGGTTTTCTTGGTTTTGTTGTTTTTTGTCTAGTGTCAAGAGGCAGCGCTTGATTCGTTGAACTTCTACTGAGGGTTGTAGAAAGATGTAGAAAGACAATGAAACGAACGCAACGAATGAAACGAATGAATCTCATGTCCATGCTCTCTATGCTCTACAAACTGTTTACCAGAAAACACTCCGCTTCAGATACCAAAGTCACAAATAGTCACAACAAATATAAAGAGATTCGCCGTGCGTCAACAGAGGAATCACAAAGTCATGGAGGGTAGTATAAAAAAATCCATGTGGAAGATGCAGAGGTAAATGCACAGAAAGCAAAGATGAACTGAAATAAGGAGATGCACCTCATGATCAATTTCGGGTCTAGTCCACAATGCCTAAAAAAACATGGAATGTCTGAATTCGTGAGACGCTGCCAAAGAAATTGAAACATTTGACCTTGCGAAAGCGCATATCAATTTGATTCAACTGATGCCTTGGCCATGCATGGTGGAAGAGATGCTCGTTCCGCTCCTGAGGCATATATTGTCCTAGCTCCCAAGACGACTCTGGCCGTATGCAGTTCTCACAAAGCCGGAGCTTCAGACCACACCACAATCCTTCAGGTGCCGGTATGGGAAGTGAAGCTCAAAAGCAACAGGCATCCGATCCTTTAGACGTCAAAATTGCCTGGTGATGACATGTAGATACGATTAGATACGTATTTGATGATATTTGATCATATTTGCAGAGTTGCTTGGAATCCCCATTGATCCCCATGGATCTCCTCGGCTTTACTGTTTAGCATAAGAAATCTCGCTGAGAAGGTTCGTTGCAGTACAACAAGTTCCAGGGCCAGTGGTGTGTCTCTGGCAAAGCTTGTGCATCCTCTGACGTAGTGTTCCTGGGAGGCATTGAGTTTTGGGGGACCTTGGACAATCATGGCCTTGTAGAGGACACGAAAAACTAGTCGTGGAGTTCGTGTTGTTCTTTTCAATGACGCTGGCTATTGTTTCGTTTTGTTAAACGTTTCCTGCACTTTATTGTGTCTATCACTTTGCTTTCGATTATTATTTTTACACTCCCCAAAAATAACATGGAACTGCATGCTATTCCTGAGGTCCCCTAACATGAACCTATGGTACGGTCTCAAGTGGACTTTGTTCCCCAGGAAATCATGCAACTAACTTTTTTTAACAAAAACACTCCAAAACTGACATGGAACCCAATGCAGAGCCAAACTGAACCCAAACTGCGCCCTGAAACAGCCAACATGGAATTTGAAGAAGTTATCACAAAGCGATCTGCAACCTTGAAGGGTGATTTGAAATTTAAACTGGAACCCAAGTGGTTTTTAAGGCGTTCTCCTTGAAAATTCCATGTTAGTGACTTTCGGGCGACCCTACTTTTCACTTCGTATTGCGCTCACGGCATCATGCGCTGAACTTGTTTGGAGCCATCGCAGTGCCTGTTAAACGTGGCACCCAACAAATTGTGGAAAATCAATTGAAAGTTGTCTATGTCTCCGGTAACTGAATGGCTGATGACTCCGGGAACTATGGCCTTCCCGGAACTGCTGGTTGAGCACTAAACATACTAAACTTTTTACCTACCAGGTCCAAGGGGTGCCCATTTAGGTTCCAAGTTGGGTTCCAGGTTGGTTTGTTTCGGGGGGGAGCGGCTTGGCCTCTGCAAACATTCCACAGTGTGCTAAGATAAACTTTTTACCTACCAGGTCCAAGGGGTGCCCATTTAGGTTCCAAGTTGGGTTCCAGGTTGGTTTGTTTCGGGGGGGAGCGGCTTGGCCTCTGCAAACATTCCACAGTGTGCTAAGATAAACTTTTTACCTACCAGGTCCAAGGGGTGCCCATTTAGGTTCCAAGTTGGGTTCCAGGTTGGTTTGTTTCGGGGGGGAGCGGCTTGGCCTCTGCAAACATTCCACAGTGTGCTAAGATAAACTTTTTACCTACCAGGTCCAAGGGGTGCCCATTTAGGTTCCAAGTTGGGTTCCAGGTTGGTTTGTTTCGGGGGGGAGCGGCTTGGCCTCTGCAAACATTCCACAGTGTGCTAAGATAAACTTTTTACCTACCAGGTCCAAGGGGTGCCCATTTAGGTTCCAAGTTGGGTTCCAGGTTGGTTTGTTTCGGGGGGGAGCGGCTTGGCCTCTGCAAACATTCCACAGTGTGCTAAGATAAACTTTTTACCTACCAGGTCCAAGGGGTGCCCATTTAGGTTCCAAGTTGGGTTCCAGGTTGGTTTGTTTCGGGGGGGAGCGGCTTGGCCTCTGCAAACATTCCACAGTGTGCTAAGATAAACTTTTTACCTACCAGGTCCAAGGGGTGCCCATTTAGGTTCCAAGTTGGGTTCCAGGTTGGTTTGTTTCCGGCGGGGGGGGGCTCGGCCTCAATGCAACTAAATGTTATGCAAAAGATACCTACCATGTTATTATTTTTGACAAATCTACTAAATGCACGTATACAAAAGAAAAGAAATACAGACGATAAGAATCTTATCGTTTGTATCGTTTTCTGCTGGTTTTTTAGTGTTTCTGAAGCTTTACATAACAGACATAACATAATCTTACCATTTCTCATTTCACAACGGTGGGAGGGCCTCCGGGCGCCGAAGCCACGGGGACACGCAAAGGGTTCCAAGTTGGGTTCCAGGTTGACACAAGGGGAAACACAACGTTGTGTTACCCCGTTGCTCCCCATCGTGGTTACCCCGTGTTACCCCTGGTGTGAAGTGGACCTCCGCACCCACGGCCTCGAAGGACTCGCCAAGAACGGAAAACACGGCCGTTTTTTGCGAGTCCTTCGAGGCCGTGGGTGCGGAGGTCCACTTCACCAGGGGTAACACGGGGTAACCACAACGAGGTAACCGGGGAAGGCCACAACGGGGTAACACAACGGTTTAACACAACGGGAGGGAAACAACGATAAAATGGCGGCTCATGGAACTGTTGGTTGAGCACTAAGTGGCAGCTTGTAGGGCTCTATGTTAATATGGCAAGTAGCCAAAAAGTGCCCGAAAATATCAAATTTCGCCAGCACATACCAACACCAACATGGCACCTACCTGGCACTTATCCCGCTCATGAATTTCAACATGGTTGCGCTAAAATGGAACCCAATTATTTTTTTGGGCCCCACGTAGGTTTTCAGGAGAGTAATGTTTTTTGTTTTTGCTTTTCCGTGTTTTGTGTGCGTTTCTTAGTTCAGACCATTTCCAGAGTTGGATGTTTTGTGTCGTTTTCTAAAATTGGTGTTTTTTTCAGAACTGGACGGCTTGCATTTTTTGAGTCCTGGTCTTGAGTTGTTTCTTGTTATCCACCCGTGACACATCCACCCCTTACCTTTTGCTCTTAGACACCATCCGTACCCCAACGATGTCCCCTCCCATTGTTTCAAAAGAGCATAAACATCCAAGAAACACCAGGGCATGGACCAGTTCCAACCTAGTCCTCCTTATCTTGGAGTAGTTTGGGTAAAAGATTGTAAAAGAAGTTTTTTCACGCATCATGCACTTCTGTCTCACTCTTTCAGGGGCAGCACACCATCAATGCTTCTGTCCTATCCAGAAAACAATGAAACAGGATGAAGCAGGCTGAAGTTTGCTTTGTGAAGATGTGATGTCGGTTGCATAACCCCCAGACAACACACCCGCTTTTCCGCTGTACTTGTTTGATTTTTTGTTGCATTCTTCAAATCCTGAGAGCGGCAGCCAAATCATGTCAAACATCCCCGGTGAAAGTTCCCCTATGACATGGATGGCCTCCAGGCCCATATAAGCCCGATTTCTAGGGTCATTTTGTAGGATATCACTTTCAAGAGCCCAGCCATTTTGTAGGTACTAATTTGAAGGGGCTCAAGGCCCATTTCGGAGGCCATTTTGTAGGGAGCCTGCCTGCACCTTGCTGTAAGAGGAATAAAATAGATGATTTACGCATAAAATCACCATCATATAGCAATCTCAAAATGCAGTTTGAAAACTTGGCTGGGTTGGGGCCATTCATTTTGTAAGAAATCCCTTTGTAGATTGTAGTTGTCATTTTGTAGGCAATTGGTGCTATTCTTGGAAAACGAGCAGCGCGCCCAATTCTGCACAGATTTTGGTTGTTGCATCAAAGCCCCCTGTTAGTGCTCTATCTCTGTTGAGCATTGCATTTTGCTTATTCAGACCTTCAAAGTACGTTTCCCGCTCTCCCCAATTTCCATTTGGGTCCATGGGCAGTTCCATTTTGGAACTTGTTCGGTTTTCGAGGCGCCATAAAAATCTGTGGCGGCCTGCTCTTGAAACTTAGTGGCTTTGCACCTGTCATGCCTAGGCTCAACAATGTAGGATGGCGTAGGACCAAAGGTCGATACAGCGATGAGTACGGGAAGCTGTGTCGACCAAAGCGGGAAATGAAATTTGGGAAATAGATGGCCGGGCTAGAAAATGCAAGGGTTTTCATGGCAGCATGATAAATCACGAAAGTCCATGTGAGCAGGCGCGCAGCAGTTGGAGGAACACATGGAACTGGAACCTTAGCCCCTGCCATTTTGTATGGAAAAATGTTTCACTGGCCTAATGTGTAGAATGACGACAGCTGAGGCAACCTGCCAAGACTTGTGTCGGAAAACCAGGTTGATTCGGACTAGTGGGATCTTACATTATCCTCCTTGAAAGGTCTTGAAATTCACCCCGAGGTGTCAGACCCACCCCCTTCTTGGATAGGTATAAACCTGGGAGATTTGCCAAAAGCCTACAGAATGAGTACTTTGCCCAAGATTGCTGATTGCTCTCTTATTCCGAATATTAGCCTTGCTTGTATGCCTGGACCCTGTGGCCCAAAAAAGGCAAAATTTGGTAGGAGCCTGCTGCTCTGCCATTCCCCTGCGTTTTCCTCACTCAGCCCTCAATTGTCTTTGAGGAGCAACCCATCCTTTTGTAAGGAAATGGGCTCACTATGGCGCACTGATATTTCCTGCTGAGTTAGCTTAACTTTCCAAAACAACTCTTGGGCAAAATGGGTGGGTATGAACGCTTCACTCTTTGTCAACATGGTAAAAAAGACAGGCCGCAAATATCATTGAGCCCATTTCCTTGCAAAAAAGATGGGTTGCTCCTTAACGACAATTGAGAAAAACGCAGGGAAATGGCAGAGCAACAGGTTCTTACAAAATGATGCCTTTTTTGGGGGATCAGGGTCCAAGCATGCAAGCAAGACTCATACTCAGAAAAATATTCAAATCAAACACCGGGGCAAAATATACCTCCCTACAAAATGTCGGGGTGCTGCAAAGAGCTGGTTGATGCACAAAGCCCTACCGTTTTGTATGGATATTGTTTTACTTGCACCCATTCATTTTTGCTGGTTTTTTGCAAGACCCCGCGGTTTATAGCTACACGTAGCGGGGGCTGACCCCTTGGGGTGAATTTCAAGGGGGATTGTCAAACCATGCATCCTTTTTTTGTGACTTGTGGCAGCAAGGCATCCACTTGATGTGGCCTTGAGCACTCACGAGTGGCACGTCGTTCCTGTGAGTGACTTTGATGCGGTGTTCGAAGCACGCGGAGTGAAACCTTTGGGTGGCAACCGCAAGCGCTCTCCACCTCCACTGATAAAGTCCCCTGGCAGAAATGTTTATTTGCGCATATTATGCCGCATAGGTTTGTAATATTTAGTCATATCCGTGTATCATCATATGTCGTATCCCAAGGAAACATATCTTCTCCAAGTGGCAGAATTTGAAAAGAGATTGTCCAAACTGCTTGGTTTCTACACGTTATAAATCGGTATTAGAGCAGTATTTAGCTTGATTTTATATTTACACTGTACATCCCAAATTCCGAAAAATCACTCCTGGATATTCGAAGGTGCTTTTGTCGCTGACATGGGAGGTTTTGAAGTTGCCTATTGTAAATGTCTAGGGCATGTTATGTATGTATACATTCTGATGATGTACGTAGTATACTTAGCATACAGTATGTATACAGTGTAATACAGTATATATGTATATGGAATGTGTAGTACTCACGTTTTGCATCACATTCCATAGTGTAGTATTGTCAATGTTCAATTTCCATAGTGTTCTTATCAGAGACAGTGTCATTCATGGCGTATCATTTCTCGCAATCACTGCAGGCAAAGGTGTCCCCAATGTTATCTATGCAAGCTGCGCAATCTTTGCAGAATGATTGATGGGAATGCTGTGGACTTTACAATGGATGCATTGAATATCATTGAATTCCCCAAGCAGTACATACACAGCCAGACAGACAGACAGAAAGACAGACGCCTGTTTTCCGAATATTCTGTACTGTATATGTCCCATGGGTGGTGTGACTTTGGGGCTCTGTCGCGTTTCTTAAAGCGGTGAGGTGAGGGAAACAAGCATGAATCGGAGGGTAAATACAGTAGACCTAGTGGCTCAAAGTTGCAAGTATTGCATAGTATTGCGTAGGCTACGCGAGAACTGGGACATACTGGGACTTTGAGGCGAGCTTTTCAGCTGCTCGTGACCAGATGTGAAAATTGCTGCAACGCAAGTGCTGGATGACATGATGAGACCAGTGTTGATGAGATGCGCAGTATTTTTTGTTTTTTAGTTGCCGCCGTTGCATTGTAGGATCTATTGCTGACCAGCAGCTCACTTGTTTCAGGTGCATCTCACATGTGTCAGGTGCACAACGTTTGGATCGTTGATCTATTGGTAACAATTGATAGTACGGCATGGATATATAGAGCAATGTCACAGCTGAACTGGCAAAAGAAGCCTGTCGAGTGTCGAGTCAAGGTTTGGATCCTCCGACCCTGATTACTTGCCAGAGTGCAAAGACGAGTCTCATCCAGGTGGGACTTGGTTGATCACATTGAAATAGCGCAGGATGTCTAGGACAGGATCAACATTTTCTTGATATAGTTTTTAGATTGTTTTTATATGTTTTTATCCTATGCACTACAGCGACCTGAGATGGTATCAAGAAGTCCCCCTGTAATTGTACTGCAAATGCCTCCGACACATCTTCAGGTTGCAACTTGCTTAGGTTTCCACAGAGTGGTTAGACAGTCAGCTCACTTTGCTGCTTACATGTGCAGAAATCCAGTTGACTCTTGCAGATTCTGGTAGTGGCTAAAGAAATCATTCTTTTGAAGTTACAAAGTTGTGTTCATATGCTTCCCATTTGAAGAGGCCCTGCTTTCAGGCGCTCGAAAGTTTAAGCTTGCATTGATGAATAAAGAAGCGGAAGACTTGGATGATGAGAATCCTTGCAAGCAACATGGCTTTCTTATTGGCTTGTTAAAGCTTTTGAAAGTGATAGCCTCTACCGCCTCTGACACACAGAGAGACTGACTGTAGTTGTGGAAGGCAGCTGGGACAGAAGTCCTGTCTGTACCCAACCCAAGCCCAATAAATGTCCATGTGGCACACTTGAATGAAATGACTGTAATCATTTGTAATCGTTATTGCGCCTTCAGGTACGTCTTTGGCAAGCCTCCAAAGAATCAGCAAATGGACGAATCTGAGGGCATGACCGGGTGGATAGACGACTTGTCGGGCACCACTGAACCTGGACAAGGCACCTGCCTTGTGTAGAGGAGACGTTACCGGGTAAGGGTTGAATTCAATACATGGCTAAGAAATCCAGCCCCTCAATTTCTTAGCCAAGCAAGGGGTTGTTTGTTTGTCTTTCCAGAGCGCGAACTGTTCTTCTGAGCCTGGCCCTGCTCTTCTCCCTATCAAATTTATTCGCAAACATCCAAATTTCTTAGGCTTGAAGATGCCAGGGTCCCTCATTTGTTTGATTTCCATTTCCATATACATGCCACAACACATCTACGCGGGAAACAAATCCAGCCCCTGATTTTCTTATACAAGGAATTCCTATACAGCGCTGGGACTGTACTTGTTGGGGACCTTTCAGAGTTTTGTGGAGGCTTTTTTTTTCGAGATAGAGACAAACAATATTGCATAACTGTCCTCCACTTGCCTTCCTCTTGCACTTTGTGTCATGTCTTTGTTCTTGTCCCTTGACCACTGTACTGGGTTACTGCTTGTATATATACGTATATAATCGAAGGAAGTTTAGAAGTCAAACTTCCGACAGAGATGAAAAGCAGAGCAGGGAAGAGGCAGAGAGAAGAGAAAGATTAGAAGAAAGAAGAGTAGAAGAAAAAGAGTAAGAAGAAAGAAGATGCAGATGCGCGAAAAGGTCGCGATTCACTGTGTTTTTCCAATGATTTGTGGCTCCGGAGGGTCGAAAAGTAGGCTCGCTAAAGCGGCGGGTGCGGAGCCAGCTGGCCAGAGGAGAGATGAAAAATTGCACGCCGTTGTGGCGCGAAGCACATTTGGAAGTCAAAATGCGCAAAACACCTCAGTGTCGGACGACTTTTGGAAGTTGAGATGTCGGAAAAGTGCATGCCGTTGTGGCGCGAAGCACATTTCCAAGTCAAAATGTACAAAACACACCAGCTTCGGACCACTTTTGGAAATTGAGATGTCGAAAAAGCGCACGCCGTTGTGGCGCGAAGCACATTTGGAAGTCAAAATGTGCAAAACACCTCGGTGTCAGACGACTTTTGGATGTCGAAAAAGTGCACGCCGTTGTGGCGCGAAGCACATTTGGAAGTCAAAATGTGCAAAACACCTCAGTGTCGGACGGCTTTTGGAAATTGAGATGTCGAAAAAGTGCACGCCGTTGTGGCGCGAAGCACATTTCCAAGTCAAAATGCACAAAACACCAGCTTCGGACCACTTTTGGAAGTTGAGATGTCGAAAAAGTGCACGCCGTTGTGGCGCGAAGCACAATTTGAAGTCAAGATGTTAAAAACACTAGGGGTTCGGACCACTTTTGGAGGCTCAGATGTCGTTTCGCGTGGCAGGCGCACGAGGGTTGTGGATCTTGTCAAAAGTGAGCAAAACATGAGGGTTTTGCAGCATTTCGACAAAAGATGGCAGGCATGGGACATTTGAAGATGATCTGCAAAGACGCATTTTTCGTGGCAGGCGCAGTACAAAAGACATGTTCATGAGAGAGGTTGGGAGGTCAGGGCGCTGATTTCCTGAGAGGGGTTACATTTTGGAGTATCAGAAGTGTAGGTTTGCTAAGATGATTTTGCATGTTCATGAGAGAGGTTGGGAGGTCAGGGCGCTGATTTCCTGAGAGGGGTTACATTTTGGAGTATCAGAAGTGTAGGTTTGCTAAGATGATTTTGCATGATAGGTGCAGCATTTCGTATGACCTGGCAGCCAGTTTTCGTGGCAGGCGCAGTACTTTAGATAGGTGGAGCAGAAAAATCGCAGAACGAATTGGCACGAGGGTGTGAGCGCAGCACTGATCTTTCCATTTTTGGAGGAAGTTTCGCAGAAGTGGTTCGTCCTTGATGTTGTCAACTTAAGTCTCACAGACTTGTTTCGTGCCTCAAGCTGTCAAGTAAAAAAATTGAGGACGTCTCGTCGAATAGCTTCATTTTCAAGCTTGCAGATAGACAGATAGATAGATAGACAACTAGATCTACAAGCACAAGGACCACTGCACTACACGACCACTACTGCTAAAAGTGCAAACATAGTACGCAAGACGATGCAAGACTAATTACACTACAACACCACATGATACCATACATTACACTATTAAACAGAGTGCCAAGGACATTTAATGACATCACACTACACTAATTATTGATGAATTTGCTGCTCGCTGCGATGGCTGTTGATCAAGGCAGCCTCTACAAGAATAGAATCATAGGCGCCAGATGAACCATGTAGGAATTCCCCAGCGCCACATGTCACAAGTGCCAATTGCCAATTGCCAAACTTCTCGCAAGTTCGATAGTCGAAGGCCTCCCGAACGATGGAATTGGCGTTGTCTCAAGCTGTGCCGTGGAAGAGGACTTTCTCATTAACATCAAGAGCCAAGAGCGCACCACAGTCGAAGGTCTGTTGAGTGTAGGCATTGACTTCACTTCTGCCATCAAGTTATTATTGTTTTACCAAAAAAATAAAAAAGCAATAAATAATCGAAGGAAGTTTAGAAGTCAAACTTCACCAGCTATGGACAGATAAAAAGGAAAGCAGGGCAGAGGCAGAGAGAAGAGAAAGATTAGAAGAGAGAAGAATAGAAGCGAAAGAGTCAGCAGAAAGAAGATGCAGATGCGCGAAAAGGTAGGCTCGCTAAAACGGCGGGCGCAGAGCCAGCTGGGCAGATGAGATAGATAGATAGATATATAGATGGTTGGTAGATTAATTAGATAGATAGATAGATAGGATAGATAG